GTTATAGTTTTTTATGGTTCAAGTTGATTATTAGATATATTCAAAAATAAATGGAAAGCTCAAGTGAGCAAAATAAAAATGACATAAAAGTAAATGCTCAAGTGATCAAAGATGAAAATAACATGAAATATAAATGCTAGAGTAAATGGTACATAAAGTAAAGGCGTAAAATAAAAGCATAAAATAAAGGAATAAGATAAAATTCAAATGTTAATAAATTAGTAATTAGAGGTTAGTTGAATGATCATCTTAAAACTTGCATTTGAAACTCATTAGAGGATTGATAAAACCAAAGCCTCTCAACAATAAGTTTCATTTTCTTTTTGTCAAGTATATCATTCATTTCAAGATCTCTAGGAAACGATGATCAATAATGTTTAAGTGATTCACTTTGACCAAAGCTTATGAAGATTCATTAGAGGATTGATAAGAACAAAGCCTCCTAACAATGAATCACAAGAATATTGGATCAAAGGTTTCAAATTGACATACTTGGGCTTGCAAACAGAGGTTTGGGCCACGAATAATAATTTCTCGAATCGGGATAAAATTTAACAATATGTTAAGCAATCGTAAGTGGACTTATATAGAAGTCACACCTCTTTTGAGGTCGGTCAATAGAAATCTATGTACCATATGTTTAGAGAAATGATATGTAAATTATTCTCCAACAACATATAGTACAAGTAAGAATGGGATAAGATGAAGAGGGAGGGATAAGAATTAAATCACATTTGAACTAAAAATCTAATCAAGCTATCATTAAAATCATTCATCCATTTTGGTGGAGTTGAACTCAACACCCGAGATCCAATAATGTTAATGAAGCTCATTTTCAAAATCTCATAGTTCAAGATCAGCCATAATATATACAAAAATAAAATTGTATTTAATAATAAAGAAAAAATTTTTAAATGGTTTTAAATGAAAATAAAAGGGGAAAATAGCAACTATATTCAAAACATCCACGAAATATTCAATGAGACCATAGAAAAAAATCAGAAATGAGCTCAAATATTTTTATTTAATTTTTGGTAATTTTTTTAAAGTCAGAAACTATTTTTAAAATTAAAATAAATAGGCAAGATAAACTAAAAATTATGAAAAATTGTAAAGTCAGAAATAAAAATAAAATGAGGTCACCAATATTTGTCAAGAGATTATTGGATCCTTCCATTTTTTTTAGAATTTAAAAATTAAGAAAAGTATTTTTAAACATTTAAAACAATTGAAATAAAGTGAAAAAATATTTAAAAAAAATATCAAAACACAAAATAAAATTGTGAAAAAATAATAATCAGAAAGAGAAAAATCAAAAGTATTTTTAAGAATTTTTTTAAAGATTTTTTGAAGTTAAATTGAATTTTTTATGAATTTTTGAAATGTAAAACAAATAAAATATAAAATCAGAAAATAAAATAAAAACCAAAAAGATGTAGACCATTGGATCAATGTCAAAACGCATTAGTAATCAGATCCAAGGGATCTCACGCGCTGTGCATATCATGGACATTAGTGAATAAAACACTGAATCATTTATTAAAATCAGAATTTAGAAGAAAAAAATAAATGGCACGATATCATTGGTTGAGAGATGACACATTGGTCATCTCCAACCTCCAGCCACGCGAATTAAAGGTCTCTGAAATGGAAAAATTAGAGCTCGAGACCGGTACCATTCCTTCGTCTCTTCAAGACGATTCTAATGGTACCCTTGCCAAAAATTTATGTAAGGTGTAACTCAGTCATTTTGGAAGGAAATATTTGAAAAGGGATTTGAAAATTCATGGCTAAAACTCACTTCCAGTTGAAAACAAATGTTGTGAATAGAATCAGAATGATGAGAGCTTCATTACAATACCAAAGTTTGAGAGAATTGGTGAAGGAATCTACCTACGGAAGTTCAAGTTCAGTGCTTTGAAACTTGACGTGGCTAGCACGACTTAGGAAGTATTAGAGCTTGTTCTTCTTCTGTTAGCTTCAGTGAAGTTCAAGGATGAAGAATTGACAAAGAAAATGGATTGAGAAAAGCTGTAAAACCAAATTCGAAGTTGCAGAAAGTGGGTTCAAGAGAGAGTTTTACAGGGTGGTTCTGGCTATCTAAGCTTGCGAAAATGAGTGGGACAGAGCCTGTATTTATAGGAGAAGTGAATGGAATCAAGAGGAGGGGTTAATGATGCAATTTTAATGGAAATCATGCACACTTGTTTTCATGAAATAAGTGTGATCACATGTGCATCAAAACTCATCCAAATAATGTGTTTTAACACTCTAAATCATCCACACGCTTATGTTAATCATGTTTAAGTAGAAAACACGCACAAATTTGGTGATTAGAAGTTAAATTATGGAAATTTCATTCTGACTGTTTGAGAAACTTCAGTTCCAAGGTACCAACTTTGAAATCATGGTATGCACAATTCTGGAAGCTTTATGACTTGATTCCTGATATGTTGGAAAGATGAGATCACAAACTTTACAATATGAAAATAATGGAATCAAATGGAAGCTTGAGCTGAAAGTTGTGATGAGTCAAAGTTCAGAAAAAGATGTTGACTTTTTGTACTTAGAAAAATTCTAAGTTTTTTCTTAAAAAATGACCTATAATATCTTGCATTCAAACATGGTCTTCCATTTAAAATTTGCATTTGACCAAAAAAGATGGAATGAAGTAGATACCTTGAATGACATTTTGAGACTTGAACCATTTAAAATCTCTAAAAAATGAGAAAGTTATTACTTGGAGAAGTTGGTGAAAATTCATGAGATGACCTATAATCTTTTGAGTCCTCAAGACATCTTCCATCCATTTTAAAGTTTTGCACATAAAATAAGGGTTAAAGTTCACATCTTTAAGATAGTTGTGGAAAAAGAATTGGCTCAAGGATATACAAATTGACCAAGTTATGATCCTTTAAAGTCACATAAGGGAATTTTATGGCCTATCTAGAGGACTTGTAATCTATCTCAATCATTAGGCATCTTCCACATAAAATTTTCTTGAAACTTTTAAAGTGATTTGTTAATAACCCTTTAAAGAGGAGCATGCCTTTGAAATCACTCAAAAATACCAAAAGATGAGCAAGATATAGCCCTTAGAAGTTCAAAACCCTAGCTCCTACAACAACAAAATGCCTTGGAAACCCTTTTCAATTTTTACAAACTTTCTTGCACAAATACTTTTGTCATGTAAATAGAAGTTGTTGAGGATGATAATGAGAAACCATGGAAACCATTACCACTTCCAAATATCAAGAATTGATGGAAATATGCATTTGTGATCAAGAAATCAATGACTTATCCAATTAGGCAAACTTCTTCAATCAACCCTTACATCTTTGAACTATCTTTGACAACTTGAGGCATGATGAATCATAATAGACTTTGTCATGATATCACTTCAAAGAATATTCAATGATGAAGCTTGAATCCCAATGAAGCTTTATTGAAGAAGGCCTGGAAATAAACTCATGAACCTATAGATCAACTTGATGGAATGTGTTGTGCTTTCACCTATAATATCATCAATTAGGGCAAACATTAATTGTATTTATTAGTTAAAAGTTAATCAATAAAAAACATATATTATCAAAATATACAAGTCAAGGTGCTTGGTGATCCCCATGAGCAAAGCTAAGGAGAAGAACCAAACTCTGGTGTGATCTTGTTGTGATTGAGTTGATATGAGATGATAGAGGGATCTTAGGGGCAGAAATAGGGGTACAACACCTGGTTTCCCCAGGGTCCATGGTGGACCCTATGTTTTTACTGGGGAAACAAATGGACTGCTAAAAGAATTTTCCAAAACTCTCTTTGTACTTGCCTGAACGGGTATCGATTCGGTTGTGGATAATGCAACCGCACTTTCTCTTATTGAAGGAGGGGGTTGTTTGTTGTTATTGTTGGGTGATGGGTTAACCATATTCTTAGTGTATTTTCTTATAGGTATAGGTTAGTTTGTTTTGAATAATTTTCCACTCCTTAATCTCATGTAACAAGGTTGACAAACAATTTTGAAACGAAATGACACCAAAAAAAACTTTGTGAAATGAAACAAGACACAGTTCCACCGGGCGTGTCAATTTGTTTATTGTGAAATTTGGTAAAAAATCACTAGTCTTCCAAACGAAAAAGATTTGGTTACTCACATGATCGACTAGATTGATCCTAGGACATGTGTTTTGTTTCAAAGGTTTATATCTTTTGTATGTTCATCTTTTCAGATGTTATAGTTAATGTATAAATGACAGAAATTCTATGTAAAGTGACTACATGAAAATAAAAGGACTTCGACTTAAAAGTAAAGGGAATAAAAAGGATTTTGATAATTCTAAATTGACAATTAAGTAAAATATGATGATTCATAGGTACATTCTCAATGACTCTTTTCTCTAACACTGGTAGTTCAAGTTTTCTGAGTATTTGTACAAAATTGAACACACGAAATCCTAATACAAAGATCCATATTTATACTAATTCAACCCTAATGGTCATACTTATAGATATGCCACGTTCGATGATGCGTGCTTCATTGTATCCTCAAACTTCCACGTGTCTTTCTGGATAAGATCAACAATTGAATTCAAAAATCCCGCTTCAAGTTACAGCGCAAAAATCATAATATGATTTGTCGAATTGTTTCGAATTCGAATCCTCACATTCTCTTAAGTTCCACGTATTTCACAATATAAGAACCTTTGTAACCCTTTTAAATGTAACTAAGGTATTTACGTTTTGGTCAGTCGAAGAAGATATGAACATATCTTCATATTTCTCTTCTATAGCTTAACTTTTTTCTACTTCTTCATTTTCCTTAATGCCATGTATCGTCGAAATTCTCATCTAACAACCACGCCGTCTTTGAAGCCCTTATGCGTTTTCCAAGTAATCGACCTATCGAAGGTGTTCAACTTGCTTTGACAACTCCTTAAAGAAATGTGAACAAAGTTAATTTTCTGAAATACATCAACATTTTCCTTGATGCCAGATTTGTTTCCGACATGGCCCCCTTTAAGGGTCTACACGTTGGCCCAGACAGGTTCAAAAATCCTTTTCCTGGAGTTTCTCATCCCGTAGTTACTCAATTGAATGTTGTATGGAGGGAATTTCTAACTTCGACTCTTATCTCTTTCCAGATTGACACCGGGTCTAATGGTTACAACTTCACAAGTTATCATCCGAATTTGGTAGCGTGCCATTTTGGTCTTAGCCAAATATTGCGTAAATCCCTCTACTCTTGATATACCGACATTTGTTAGGCGGGGCATAACCTTTCTGCTGACGAACACCATAATTGCCTTCTTTTCCACAGGTCAACTCAGACTTTGGAACTTCCAACATTCCAATTCTAATAATTTTTCTTTGCTACTGCTGAATTTGACCCTTGGTGGTATAAATACCAAGAACAACATTTCTATGTGTCCTCCTTTTTGCAACGACTATCAAAAGCCTTCGCTCGACTGGACGCCCAACCAACTGCTTCGACAGGTGTGTTTCTAGCAACTCTGGTTAACTCATTCATTTTCCTTTGTTGTGGTGTTGTTCATTCTATCATTCGTTAGGCCCCTCAATGGATATTATGGATCTCACAAGAACAACTCTTAGCGACACCCAAGAGACATCAATTTTTGTTATTGAAGCCGATTCACACAAAAAGGTAACTTGCATTTGTTTCGATTTATTTTACCGAAAGGTTTATCTAATATTTACTTTTCTGGAGCCACAAAAGATCATTGGCGGTCTCCCTTGATTCTGTCCAATCTTCAAAGAAAAAGAAAAATCATGCTCCTCCGTCGACTCAGGTATAAAGATTCTTCATAGTTCCCCCTTTTTTGTGTCGGACTTTATGTGACTAACCCCATTTTAGGTTCTTGAAACACCACTTTCCACCTTCAGAGAAGAAAAAAACCTAATGATGTTCTTACTTAAATTTTTCCTCTACGAGCGCCAACTCTGACTAAACCAACAAAGGCTCCAAAGAAAAGAATTGTCTCGCGTAGTCAAAATTCCATACTTATGACTCCTCATGTGTTTGAAGAACAACAACCTCCACCTATTTCTCCACCAAAAGATCCAGATTCTCATAAATTTCCTCCAAAAAAATATATATCGCAATCCATGGGGTACCAATCTTGCTTACTTGAAATAACCTCAAATTTCAATCTCCATAGCCTGCCAACGTTCCTGAAGAAACTCTACCTATCCCAACTGAACAAGCTAGAATCGAACATCCTGATCTCCAGTCTTCTTCCGCTGAGGGTGATATTTTTCACAACGTCCAAGATGCTAATTCCCATGATTCCCTTAATCAAGAGGAAATGTTGGCTTTAAAGAATTAGAATCCAGCTGAAACTCTATGAAGTCTTCAAAAACATCGACAAGTGCCATTGGATTCCCATACCCCCAACTCGAGCATTGTCGCTGAGGTTGATGCTAATGTTACCCTCAAACTTCAACAACTCAAAACTTATCTCCTTGAGGGTGATTTTCTAGTTGTAGTCGGAGAAGAGACTGATCTGGGTAGAGATGCTCTTAAGTTGGTTGGCAAACTCAATCATTATGAACTTCCTGATTCTATTGCTAAATATTTTATTGAGTTTAAGTCTTTCTTCAGCCAACTTAGTCGAGATCTGATTACTAGGAAGAATGATGACCTCCAGATCAAGAACAAAATCAATGAAATGGCTCGGAAGTGGGATTTCAGTAAAGCTTGCGAGAAAAAACTAACTGAATTCCAGGCCAAGAAACAACAACACTTTGATAAACATAAGGAAATCGATGATGAAATTTATCATTATCAAGCTCAGATTGACGAACTCAAAAAGAAAATTAAAGAAGCCAATCAGAGAAAGCTGCTATCGATACTGGAAAAAACCTCCCCACTCCGGAACAAATTACTAATGAGGCTTTGAAAGGTATCTCCCATGGCGAGAAAGCTCTCAAACTCAAATAAACCATTGAAACCATCAAGAAGAGGAAAGCTTGCTTGGACCAAAGGATCCTTTATGAGAAAGCGCATTTTGAGGGTGTTAAGTCTGACTTCCCAGCTTAATTGGCTTCAATCTTATGACAATTTTGTTTTTTAGGCTTTTGACAGTGCCTTTGTAATCTTTTGAACTTACGGTTACCATTTTGGACTTATTTTATTTTGGTTACCCACATATAATATACTTTTTATTCTACAGCAATTCGAATCTCTTGAAGCATAGATTTATTTTTTTTCAAATATTTCCCATTTACTTTAAGGATTCGTTGGTCAAAACCTAGCTCTTTGATTTCGTAAGCATTATCTGTAAATTCTCTTATAACTTGAAATGGTCCTTCCCAATTTGGTGAACATTTCTTTAATGATCGATCTCGTCGATCCATATGTAGAATTAACTTCCATACATACTCACCTATTAATAAAAAATTTGCTTTTACTTTCTTATTATATGTTATGGCGACTCGCTCCTTCTGTCGAATTAACACATCTAACACAGCCAACCTTTCTTCGTCTAAATCTACTGTTTCATCGAACATCATATTCCACTATGGTTCTGACGAAATTTAATTTTTACGCTATATCCTTACAAACTGCAAATGTATTTCGACATGAAAAATAATGTTGTGTCCAAATACCAATCGAAAAGGCATTGAATTTGTCACCTCCTTAGGAGACGTTCGACAAGCCCATAGTATTTGGTTCAAGGTTTTATGCCAATTTTTGGCTTCTTGGAAACATGCTTTTTAATCAAGCCAATTATCACTTTATTCGCCTCTTCAACTTGACCGTTGGTCTGAGCATAATAAGGCTCCGAGTGTTATACCCCAATTTCCCCCTAAGATTCCTCTATCATCTCTTATCAATTCAACCATATCAAGATCACAATTGGGTTTGGTTCTTCTTCCTATATTTAGGTTTTCTCATGAGGAATCAACAAGCACCTTGATTTATATATTGTGATCATATTTGTTTTGTATTGATTAACTTTTAAACTAACAAATACAATGAATTTTCTCTAATTGATGACACTATAGGTGAGGGAACAACATATTTCATCAGGTTAATTCATAGGTTAATGAGTTTATTTCCACGCCTTCTTCAACAAAGCTTCATTAAGATTCAAGCTTCACCATTGAAGACACTTTAAATTAATATCATGACAAGGTCTAATATGATTCATCATGCCTCAATTTGTCAAAGAAAGTCAAAATATACAAGAGTTGATTGAAGAAGTTTGACCTAATTGGACAAGCTCTTGATTCCTTGATCACAAGTGCATAACTCTCTCATTTCTTAATATTTGGAAGTGTTTTTTTTTGTTATGGGTTCTTATTATCATCCACAACAACTTATATTCACACGGAAAGAGTAATTATGCAAGAAAGTTTGTCAAAATTGAAAGGGGTTTCCAAGTTATTTTGGTGCTTGAGGAGCTAGAGTTTTGAACTTCTAAGAGTTATATCTTGCTCATATTTTGAGATTTTTGAGTGATTCCAAAGATATGTTTCTCTTTAAATGTTTATCAATTAATTACTTCAATAGTTTCAAGAAAATTTGGTGTGGAAGATGCCTAATGATGGAGAAAGTTTACAAGTCTTCTAGATGGGCCATCAAATTTCCTTATGTGATTTCAAAAGATCATAACTTGTTCAACTTTTATCTCATTGAGCCCATTAATTTTCCATAATAATCTTAAGGATGTGAAATTTAACTCTTCTTTTATGTGCAAAGCTTGAAAATGAGTGGAAGATGCCCTAAGAACTCAAAAGATTATAGGTCACCTCATGAATTTTCACCAATTTTACAGGCCATAAAAATTTTAATACTTGGTATTTTTGAGTGATTCAAGTTTCCCAATGCTCTTTGAGAAGTTTATTTCAAGCTATAATCATTGATCAAAGTAATATTTTTGAAGAAAGCCTTGTTTGGAATAAAAACATTATAGGTCACTTTTGAAGAAAAACTTAGAATTTTTCGAAGTACAAAAAGTCAGCATCTTTTTCTCAACTTTGACTCATCACAACTCCTAGCTCAAGCAACCATTTGGTCTCATTATTTTCAAATTTTAAAGATTGTGACCTTATCTTTCGAATGCTTCAATAATCATGCCCTAAGACCCCTTGAACTATGAACACGTGGATTTAAAGTTGGTACCTTGAAACTGAAGTTTTCTCCAAAGTCAGAATTTGAAATTTATAATATAGCTTCTAATCACCAAATTAGCACGTGTTTTTTATTTAAACATGTTTTAAAAAGTTCTCAAAGTTTAATTAAGGATCAAAACGTAGGAATTGATTGAGTTTTGATGCACATGGGGTCACATTTTTTTCATTTTCGAGCTTGATTCAATTTCCCTCCAAACTTCAAATTTCCTATGAATTCTTTGCACCATTCACTTCCATATATATAGAGGGACATATTGCATTCATTTTCTCAAGCTTGAACAACCAAAATCACTCTGTCAAACTCCTTCCATAACTAGTGTTTCTAAGATTTAGATTTCCTCTTTTCTCCACTTTTCAATCCAATTTCTTCATTGACCCTTCATCCTTAAACTTCACTGAAGCTAACAGAAGAAGAACCAAGCCTTGAGGTGTCCTAAATCATGCTATCCAAGTCAAATTTCAGAACAATTTTCAGATACTTCGTTCAGGTAGAATTATCAATCAAATTTAACCAAATAAAGCCATATTTTACTCTATTCGTCCTTTTGATTCACACACTTCTTACGGTTTGCATTTTCATTGAGAATTGAGAGAGATACTTGGGATTTTCGTGCTCGCTATTTTTTCTAGTTTTCTTCAAATTCAGCCTTGCACGGTTTACATAGGCCTTTCATAATCAAGGGTCATATCATGGTGTCCAGCTGATATGATGCAGTCAAGTTAAGATTCGAGGAATCTCTGAAAAGTGCCAAATAGCCAGGGACAGATCTCCATCTGAATCACTTGGGGCATTGGACATGAATTCCAGCAATGAATCTTGTACGATCAAACAAACATCTTTTGGAAGTGTGGCAACACTTACTACTATGGACAATGACAATTCTCTGTACCCGGTGAACATGGACATAGTCAGAAAATACTACGCATGAACAAAGAACCGCTAGGTTGACTGGCCTAGGCAAAAATAAGGGCATCCCGCAAACTAAAAGGTTTCGGGAAAAAATTAGGGATATACATATTTAAAAAGTTGTACACCCGGCAAGTCGAAAACCTGAAAAGGAGGCTTGGGCAAAAAAGGGTATCCCGATGGACTGAAAATCTAAAAGGACAGTCCAGGAAAAAGTTAGGGATTAAAGCGTATGACTACGCCCCGTCATCTCGTCGCTTAGTATAAGGTTTATTACCCTGATCATCATTCACCAAGGACTCCAAGAGTTTGGATAACAGTCAAACCATCTACAAAATCCCTGGCATATATTTTCTCCAGCAGGTACTGAGGCAGGGGCATTCTACTACAAGGTCACTTCCATATTCTTAGCATGCAACCAAATGATGTCAGGTGTTCTCATATCCCCAGCAGAGCAAGAATCTCCAACTACTGCTCTGATATCTAAGAAAAATTCCCCAGTGAAGTCGCCAAGCTTCTCAGGATTCCCCAACAGGATCTCACAAAATCCCCAAGCGAATTACGGAGTTTCCCTTCCCTAACGGATTTCTTCTCAAAAACAACAAAATAGGAATTCCCAACAGAAACATTCTAAACAAAGCAGACTATCTTCTAGAAACGGTTCAAGTACGATCCAGAGACGGATGTCATCCTGACACTTATTCCATATTCTCATCTAAAGACGGTTCAGGTACGATCTAGAGACAGATGTCATCTTGATACTTATTCAGATCATCTTCTAGAAACGGTTCAGGTACGATCCAAAGACGGATGTCATCCTGATACTTATTCAGATCATCTTCTAGAAACAGTCTAGGTACGATCCTAAGACGGATGTCATCCTGATACTTATTCAGGTCATCTTCTAGCAACAGTTCAGGTACGATCTAGAGAAGGATGTCATCCTGATACTTATTCAGATCATCTTCTAGAAACGGTTCATGTACGATCCAGAGACGGATGTTATCCTGATACTTATTCAGATCATCTTCTAGTAATAGTTTAGGTACGATCTAGAGACGAATGTCATCATGATACTTATTCATATCATCTTCTAGAAATGGTTCAGGTACGATCCAGAGACGGATGTCATCCTGATACTTATTCAGATCATCTTCTAAAACGGTTCAGGTATGATCCAGAGACAGATGTCATCCTGATGCTTATTCAACACATCTCCAGATACAATCATGACATATATTCACTCTGACAATCCTCAAACAGTTCACGGATTTTACCTTCCCCAACGAAGTTTATTTCTTTAACAACGGAAGTTCATCTCCCAGTGTTTTAACTTCAGAATCTGAAGACCTACATTCTTCACCCCCAGCCACAATTAGGGATTTATTTTCCCTAGTTCAGCAGTACAATAACGTAACAATTGATACATTCATACATTGCATTCATAAAAACATCATAGCATACACAACACAAATTCATATATCACAGTCTTATTTATTTTGAGAGCATCATGCAATTCATACATCATGACATCTCATGAAACTGACTTTACCTTTCCAGGTTGAGTTTGCAGAAAGACAAACACTATCAGCTTATACAACATGTCAAAGATTAATGCCCGAAACCGAACAGGGAAGTTATCTACATGACCAAATGGTATGAATTCTCGAAGCAAGACGGGTTTACTAGGAAATACAGCAGGGCACAGATTAATGCCCGAAACTAGACAGGGAAACTATATATGGGCCCAACATTGCCAAGTTCCAAATTAAAACCTGTAACAAGCTAGGAAAACTATATGTGGACGATCAATTGTAGGTTAATACCTGTAACAAGCCATGAAAACTATCTACA